CGTTCTGCAGCAGCATTCGGGTGCTAAACAACTCCAGGGCGTGCTGTGCAAACCAGGAATGTCATTACAGCATCTGCTTTTTGTAAGATTCAGTCCTGTTGGGTTCTTTCCCTTCAGATCAGTAACCCAGAAATGACAACACATACCTGGCAATGTTAAAAATGCACATTTATTACTCCACGTATGCAATGGCTTCTCACAGTGTCTGCAGAAAACAAACCAACCCCCCCCCACAAACTTGTCGTAACTTAAATCTTCTTCTGTGACATGGTAGAATATTTCATGCAGTAAAATTACAGCAGTGTATTAACATAAAATACAAAGATATTACTTTACATGTATTTCCACTGAAATAGGTTTTAAAAATACCCTACCAAGGCATCAGGATTCCAGCACAGTCCAAAGTTCGTATTACTGCCCTTTTGGCTGTGATTTTACTACTCTCTTATTGGCGAGTAGAGAGCAATAAAGAGTTGGCAACAGAAGAAACATCAGGACCTGCTCTGGCGTCAGTTTTCTACACAAATTTCCCAGTGAAGTCTGCGGAATTCAGTGGGAAACGCTTAAAAAAATACCCAGCTTGACAGAGCTTCGTAACACAGCGGAGAAAAGAAAACAACCTTATGGCGAGGAATTGAAGGAGAATAATTTACAGGTGACGCAGACTTCACGGCGAAGAATGGCACACCTTGTATAAATCTGTCATACAAAAAATACACGTATTTAAATATTTGTATCTACAGGGTCCTGTGTTCTGGTGGCAGCGGGGATGTGAACCCGAGCTGCTGTTGGTTTCTGTCGTGCTCTGCACGGTGGGGTTGGGTACCAGGGGCACCTCACGCCGTCCCCAAGGGTTTTGACACAGGAGTGGAGCCGCTCACAGCATCCCCAGGCCTCAAAACACCATGGGGGTATGGGAGGGTGACAGGGGCTGCAATCCCCATGGGATTTGGGGTTGGCTTTGCATGGGATGTCCTGGCAAGGACCACGGGGATGTGCGGTGCCAATGGGGCTGAGCTCGGTTGGCTCCATCAGCATGGGCTTGTTATGGGGACACAGGGATGGGGACACAGCCATGGGGACATCACAGTGATGGGGTGACAGCGATGGGGACATCATGATGGGGGACACAAGAATAGGGATGTAGCGATAGGGACACAACCATGGGGACATAGTGATGGGGACCACAGCAATGGGGACACAGCCATGGGGATGGAGCCATGGGGACATAGTGATGGGGTCCACAGCAATGGGGACACAGCCATGGGGACATTGATAGGGACACAACCATGGGGACATCATAGTGATGGGGACCACAGCAATGGGGACACAGCCATGGGGACATAGTGATGAGGAGACAGTGATGGGGACCACAGCAATGGGGACACAGCCATGGGGACACAGCCATGGGAATGCAGCCATGAGGACATAGTGATGGGGAGACAGTGATGGGGAAATAGTGATGGGGACCACAACAATGGGGACGTAGTGATGGGGACACAGCAGGGACAGAAGAGAAGTACTTGGTGTACTGAACCCCATCACGGAGATTCTGATGATGAAGCAAACACATACCTATTTCCTACCATATTTCCATTTTCCAGTGACTCTTCTCTTGTCATTCCTTCTCCAGGAACAGGGATAACCAGGCACCAACAGACCCTGGTCCCCAGTGGGCAGCAGTGACGTTAGGCATAATCCAGGCATTATTTAGGACCAAACACGGGTACCCCAGGTACACTGCACTCACAGTGCCACCACCACACAGCGCAATGACCCAGGGTCCATGTCCTGTCCCTGTCTCAGTGATCGAGGGTTAGGAAGCACCATCCCCCAGTGCATCCCTTGGAGAAATGGCTGTTTCAGAGGGGTGCCAGCTCCCCCCACACCACCAGTGCCATTTGTCACTTGTCCCAAAGGCAGGGATGGTCAGACACGTCCTGCCAAGCTGCCCACACCGCTCCTGGCCCCACAGCTTCAGCCGACCAGGACCTGTCTGCATCGCCCACACACGGCATGGGTTGGTCAATAACGTCACGCTCCTCACAGCTCCGATAGCCCAAACATCGGTCACTGCTGACAGAAACACCACCAATAGTGCAATGGGGGTTACTGACAAAAACCTGTCCGTACCAGTGCAGTAAATCACCTGTAACTTGTAATTCCTGAATAAATACGTGGGTTTGACCCCATTCTGCTCCTGTGGCTGAGTCCGGGCAAGCCAAGCCGTGGGTTCCTGCCCCCTCACAGCAGCACAGCCGGGCTGATCGTTAACACAGCCCTAACGAGGCATGGGATGTGCAAGCCCCATGGTACAAGTGTGGCCCCTCCAGGGCCAAGGGCTGGGTGCTCCCCCCATGGGAGCTGCTGTGTCCAACAGCGAAACCCGGCCCTGTCCCAAAAACAACCACAGCCGCGGCGTCCCTGCCCCGTGCGAGCGGTGCCTGCGCGCCCCGCGCTCCTGCTGCAGACCTCGGTGAG